TTGCATTGATCGAACAGTACCCGGACCTCGATACGATGCCTTTTGAGGAGGCGATTGGAAGATTGAACGCATACGAAGAACGCATTTGCACCCGAAGTACCAGCGCAGATAACAACGGGCAACTCCTTCTCACTCAAACAGATTGGCAAGGAAAGAAAAAGGGTGGCAATGCAGAGTCGTCGTTGAGTGGAATGGGACGTGGCTCGCCTGGGTCATTCGGTGCAGACGCACGTGGACGTGGTTGGGGCAGAGGACACCGAAGAGGGAGCAACCGTGGGAGAGGAGGTCGGGGTGCCTTCTCGGCGCCTCATAGGGATGCCACATGAAGCAGCAGGAATAAAAGCCACATCAAGCAGCAAGAATAAAAGCCACATCAAGTATTTCAACTGTGACATCTACGGGCACTATGCCTCATAGTGTCCTAACCCAAAACGAAGACAACGAAATAAACTTGACTTGACTTGAACCCAAGAGGATGAACCAGCATTAATGATGGCAATATGTGCTTAAGAAAAACCAGAGATAGTGCTTTTGAACGAAGACAAAGTCTTACAGAAGCGGTATGCTTCTGACTCGAAGGAGCACAACGATATCCGGTACATGGACAATGGTGCCAGCAATCACATGACAGGAAAACGATCTCACTTTGCTGAGCTCGATAAAAAGATCATTGGGCGGGTCAGATTCGGAGATGGCTCCTAGGTCGAGATCAAGGGAAAAGGATCGGTCCTGCTGAAATTCAAAAACGGCGAGCAACGCCTAATCCCCGAGGTATACTACATCCCAGACTTGTGTAGTAACATCTTAAGTCTTGGGCAGGTCACTGAAGATGGTTGCAAGGTGTTACTATTTGGAGACTTCGTACGACAGGGATGGAAAGCTTCTTATGAAAGTACAACGATCTAGCAATCGACTGTACAAAGTTCTCATCCACACGACTGCACCAGTTTGCTTAGCTGTCAGTTTGGATAAGGTGGCATGGCATGCCGCTTTGGGCATCTGAATTTATAGGCAATGAAACACATGGTTGCCAAGGACATGGTACGGGGAGTACCAAATATCACACATCCTACGTTGTGAAGCATGCCTCGTCAAAAAGCAATGCAAGCTATCATTTCCGGTACAAGCACAATACTGTGCAAACAAACCACTAGAGTTAGTCCATGCAGATTTTTGCAGTCCAATTACACCCTATACATCAGCTAGTAATCGTTATTTCTTCAAGTTAGTTGATGACTTTAGCCGTTTCATGTGGGCACATGTTATCAAGACAAAAGATGAAGCCTTAGCTGCTTTCAAGAAGGTAAAGTGCAGGTAGAAAACGAGACTTCATTCAAAAATAAACACGTTAAGAACGGACTGGGACGAAGAATGTATCTCAATGTTTTTCAGAATTTTGTGAAGCAGAAGGAATACAACAACTCACTGCACCATACACCCCACAATAGAACGGGGGGTGGTGAAACATCGCAATTGTTCTGTGCTCAGAACTACAAGGAGCTTACTGAAAGCCATGACCGTTCCTCTAACCATGTGGGGTGAAGGCGTTCAACATGCAGTGTACCTACTGAATCGAATTCCAACCAAAGGAGTAAACCCAATCTTGAACACCTTAAGGTTTTCGGTTGCACCGCACATGTGAAGGTACCCTCCGCTCGCATGACTAAACTTGATGATAGAAGCACGCCCATGGTCTATCTAGGTGTCAAACCAAGGAGCAAAGCACATCGGCTTTATGACCAACAATAAGGAAGAACATGTGTGAGCCAAGATGTAGCATTCAAAGAGAATAGGAAGTGGAATTGGACAGAACATCATAGCAAAATAAACTACCAAGGTTTGAAGTGGGTAGAATTCATCGTAGGTGAACAATTTGAATCTGCCTCGGAAAACACTTTTGTTGCAGAAGGCGAACTTGGTGGGATTGAGACAGGAGTCATTGTACCAGACACATCACTAGAAATGTCGACGTCCCCAGCACCGCACTCACTTGTGGCTCTGGACCATCATCACCGACACCTGTAAGTACACCCGATTCTTCCACTTATGATGATACACTTGTTCGAGGTTTTAGATCCCTTGTAGACATCTATGCGAGGGCACAACCGGCTGTACTCGACCCTGAGGACTTGTTATTAGCTTATGACAAGCCGACTAATTACCATACGGCTGTTGGTAACAAGAATTGGAAGAAGCAATGCAAAATGAAATAGAATCAATCTAAAGGAACCAAACCTGGAAGTTGACGGAGCTGCCAACAGGGCACAAACCGATTGGTCTCAAATGGGTCTTCAAGTTGAAGAGAAATGCTGCTGGAGAGGTGACAAAACACAAGGCGAGGTTGGTGGCCAAAGGGTATGTGCAGCAAAAGGAAGTAGATTTTGATGGAGTATTTACTCTTGTAATACGGTTAGAGACAGTACGTTTATTATTGGCATTGTCTGCCAGGGAGGATTAGCAAGTTCACCATCTCGATGTTAAGTCGGCATTTCTTCACGACCACTTACAAAGGAAGAGGTGTATGTATGTCAGCCAGAAGGGTTTACTACAGCCGGGAAAGAGCACATGGTGTACAAATTATCCAAAGCTCCGTATGGGTTACGTCAGGCCCCTAGAGCTTGGAATACCGGACTTGATAACACGCTGAAGCAGCTTGTATTTCAAAAGTGCCCCCATGAACAAGCGATGTACCCGTGATTCATTGCTCATTGTTGGTGTTTATGATGGTGACTTGTTTGTAACAGGAACTAGTGAAGCAGAATCCATACATTCAAAAAACAAATGAAGGGTAAACTCGAAATGAGCGACCTTGCATACTCGCATACTATCTTGGTATTGAAGTACAACAAGATTGTTGCGGCATTACTTTGAAACAGACTGGTTATGCAAAGAAAATACTGCAACAGGCTGGAATGGTGGACTACAATCCATCCAAGCATCCAATGGAACCGAAGCTCCAGCTATCCAAAGATGAAGAAGGGACACTAGTGAATGCAACGGAGTATCGAAGTCTGATTGGAAGCTTGAGGTATTTAACCCATACTCGACCAGATATCAGCTTTGTGGTGGGAATGGTTAGCAGGTACATGGAATCGCCAAAGCAAAGTCATTTGCAAGCTGTAAAACATATCTTAAGGTATGTCAAGGGGCTGATTCATTATGGGCTTAAATACCGTAAGGGTGGCGACAACAGTTGATCGGGTATAGTGATAGCAACCATGTTGGTGATCTGGATGATCGAAGAAGCACCACCGGGATGTTCAATTTTTCTGGAGCTCCTGTTACATGGTGTTCTCAAAAGCAAAGTACGACAGCGCTATCATCATGTGAAGCAGAATTTATGGCCGCCACTTCGGCAGCATGTCAAGCCTTGTGGTTGAGAGGCTTACTTGGTGACTTAACAGGTTGGGCGCCAAAAGTAGTGCTACGCGTAGACAAGTAGTCTGCAATAGCACTCATGAAGAACCCGGTGTTCCATGGGAGAAGTAAACACATCGACACTCAGTTCCATTTCATCCGTGAGTGCATTGAAAAGGGGTTGGGGTTGGTGTTGGTGGAACATGTGAGCAGTGAAGAGCAACGTGCAGATATTCTGAACAAGGCCCTTGCAAGGGTGAAGTTCACAGAGATGCGAGAACTCTTAGGCGTTGAAGATCTCGCATGCTCAAGCCAGAATTGAGGGGGTGAGTGTTGGATGTAACTCTGACTTAGTCAAGTTGGTGACCAAGTCTTTAGGGGTGGCATCATGGACGTAGTGGAGTCCAGATCTTTTACGCAAATAAGTTGGCATGGACCTATTCCTTAGCCAGAAGTAGGATATAAATAGGCTTTTTCTCTCTTTTTGTGAGGTAAGTTTTTCTTTGATCAGAAATCAAAAGACACGGCATTTAGCGCCATCTGTGTTCTTTTTTCTTGTTCTCGTGTAGAAGTGTGTGTGCTAACTTGAGTATGCAGATCCTTCAGTCAGTTTTTCAACAGTTGTGAAGAGAATATGCAAAATATAGACAGGAATAGAAGAGATGAGAGAGGAATAGCGAGTTTACACACCAATATTGCAAATGAAAATCAGCCCCCTAGCCCGTAATCCCTTAATCGACTTCTCTAAATCCTTTAGAAGGCCAACTTAAAGCCCAACTCCTAATTGCGGTTTCCACATCGCTATTGCAAGTCAAAACTGTGGCCCAATTACCATGATTAGCGCCCGCTATTAGCGCAACAGCTATTTCCCACCGCTATTTCCTCTAGGATATTTCACCGTATAGCACCGCAATTAACAGCATAGTATACAAGCATAGGTTAGGGGTAGTTTAGTCATTTCAAGCCATTTTAGCCAGACTTGGTGTAAATGACACCAATTGCAAAGTTGGGTGATCTCTATTGCAGTTCCTGTTGTTGGGTTGCCTAAATGAAACTTCAGCAGAAGTTTGGTGGCTTTCATAGGCATTTTCCCTATATATTATTGTAAATGGCTTCTTCAAAAAACGTGTGTTTAAGCCGCAATGACTTGACGATCTTCTGGTCAGTGCGGCATTTTCACCGGACAAGAAACAGAATGCATGTTTTGTTTGATTCAAAGGAGCAGTAGACTACTAACATCAAATCATGAACATTACTTGTAACAATGGAACATCTAACCATCTTTAGATTGCGTGTAAAAACCATTATAACTTTCCGCTCTTGCACAGGATTTTATACACCCCATCACCTACGCCAAATGTTTACAATGTTTTTTCACTACTTGACCATCTCTTGTTCAGAAAGAGCATACAGGCATGCCACGAATACGCTAATGCGGCATTTTTGTATTTGTTCCCATGAATCCATAAATAAACCGTGGTATTTCCAAAGGCTTTCTGAAGACAAATCTTATGCAGATCTCTCAGTAAAGATCAATTGGTTTCTATCATCTTAAAATGTGCACATATAATTCATAAAAAGTTGATGTTTTCAAGACAATTCACTATCACAGAAATCAGATCGAGGAACCAAAATCAATGTACCTTCTGTTCAGCACATCGTTCCCCGTCCATGCTATTAGCCCAAAAGGGTATATATCTTTCGGGTACACCTAGAAGATAAGAAAGGAGTCATATGAAGTGAAACATCACTTTTAAGTATTTGAAATACTTATAAATCCCATTTAGGTATGTAATATAACCCCATACCAATTAGGGAGATTATATAGTCCTTAAAGTCTTCATATCAATGTTTGTTTGTTCTAACAAAAGAGGCCTATAAATGGATAAATACATCAAATCAATATCTGAACCATTAATAGTTTGATAATTTATACCCGATTCATTTCATAAACAGACAATCATATTATCAGGTACAGGAATCCTAAATACATAACACCCCGTTAAAAGGAACAATTCTAGAGTGAAAGTCCATCTCTGATGCAACCAATAGGCTGTAGGTGAAACCCGTCGAACTCTAAACAGGGATATACATCTTTCAACCAGAAATAATTACCTAAAAACACAAAATGCAACACCACAGTTAAGGATATTGCAGCTGCAGAATGTTTACTGCTATGTAACTATCAGTCCAATGCAAAATACAATACCAAAAAATGTGTTGTTCCATTGTTTGACATCTGATCATGTACATATCAACTATGTTAATAGTACTGACATAAATTACAGTACCATAAACATAAGCGACTTGTGAATTTATCATTGTCAGATGTCAACTGCTGGGTTGCAGGAATTTGATCTTATTTCGTTGGTCACAAGAGTACTAAAAAAACATTACTGGCCCTAATCATAATCTCGGTTGCCAGCAAATGATCAAAGAGAACCAGGTGCAATTTATTCTTTACAAGCATTTATTTAATTAAGTAGTTATGCTGGGTGCCTCGTCCGGATATTTTGGTCTGACTCATGATGACAGCAACAGTTTCCAAAAAAGGGGCATTTCACAGGATAATGGGGCGTACTTTGTATTCTGAGGTAGAGAAATTCACAACAGACAGTAATTTAACCAAGCGTTGCTTTGGTCTCCATGACATAGGCATTGATACTTCTATGGTGATTAAAAGAAGAATGTTGGTCACATGTAACAACAAATATTTATTTGTGAGTTTCTAGAAAGCACTGTGCAAAGGCTGAAATCAAAGTAATACTCCCTCACAAAATAGTAGAAGAAACCAACGAGGACCTGTGATTCAGCAAAATCATATCAACACTAATACATAGCACATCCTAAGACCATTATGATGTATCCTTCGTGTCACAAAGAGCCAAGGGTGTATCTAATTCACTTATTAGGGAAGAGCATAAATTTATCCCCCTCCCCTTTTTGGCGTTGCATGGAGTGGAATTCTTCAAATTATACATATACCAACTATAATGGCATCCAATTAATATGAAAGATACTACCTTCAAATCAATGCGATGCCGCAGCTCCCGACCAGGATATGTGCAAAGACCGAAGTATGTATCAACCCCTGAATCAGTACCCTGTACAGCAGATAAGAGTTGAGAAACAAAACCATCCTCCAGTATAAATCACAGAAGAAAAACCACTAATTATTTTGATCCAGCAATTCCACCAACGAAACACTCTGGTTCCATTTTGGTAATTCATATTTTAAATTACACTACCATATGTAGAAGACAATATAGAAATTATTCAGTGGTAACAAGGATGGAACATTAACCATTACCTGCTCACTGTGAATACTGAAGACCAAATCCTCTCTTAAAAAGTTCATATCTTTCAAATGGTTTACATACTTTGGCAGAAAACCTATATGGCTGTAAAAGAAAACTGATCAGTGCTGAAGAGCATTTCTAGTGCAGATCAACAAATAGAAAGGAAAAATAGAGTTCAGCTACTACAACCATTATTAATTCAAGTATTTGGGGGTCAATTCAATGAAGCATAAACTTAATCCACCACCATGTTCCCTAGTAGGCTCTAATAATTTGTTCTCCACTAATAAAGTATTACCAAATCACTCTGGGTAAATCAGTCACTTCATAATCAACAATATTCAACAATAACATATCTTATAACATTCACCATTCAGAATTACACTGCATGTGATGCACGCCGGACTGATAACAACAGAATTGGTGGTATTATTTCTATTAACCACTCACAATCGTAGGGTTACATTAGCTTCCCAGGCACTTCGAGACTGCCGGATGTCTCACAGGGCTTTCGCCAAAAACGCACCCACTAAATTGATGGATCCCCTCTCACAAACCCAACCTCCCTATTTAAACTAATCGATTCATCACCTTGCTTTACCTACTTGTACCACAGCAATAACCACTTGTACATTCCTACCAGACTAGTATATTTGACTTCCTAACCCAGCCCGCCTTTCTTTGACTTATCTGACCACTCCCCGGGTATTAGCAATACCTGCTCCTGAACTTTCACCTTGTCCTCAAGGTGGAAAGAAAAAGAAAAGGAACCGATACACTACTGCAATTGAAAGTTGAGGACCGCTAACTTTTGTTCCCATGAATCTATCAGCTTCATCCATCAGATTAATAGACAACAGGCTACCTTTTCTTTCTGATGCCAGATCTCGTAAGACGAAAACGAACTGTTTAGCCGCCTAACATAATCTCCCCAATTAGTTTCAAGAAAAAATGACCCTCCCAATCCGCTTCAAGCCACACCCTAAGAAAGTTGTCTCTCATTCCAAGAAACTGACCGCCATTATTTTGCTCCCATCTCTAGAATCCCTAACCTCAGATTGGACAGCCAACAATCCCCTTTTTTTTCAGAACTGGTCTGAGCAGAGTCTGTCATTGCATTGAAAAACTCCGCCAAGGGCTCGAAAGTACACTGATACACTGGCCTCTTCATGTACTGCATACCAGTTCTCATCTTCACTTCCATCCATGATAACTATTCGATTGGGAATGTCGGTTTCATCATTCTTCCATATCCATTTCAGGTTCTTGTAATATTGAATTTGATGGTCAAGGGTATCTAATTCATGATACGTTACCTCAACATGCCGAGTGTGCTTATAGAAGGGCCGAGTTAGGTACACATCCACGAGCTTCCTGTTCAACAACACTTTAGAAACCGGCGTTGGATCAACATATGCCTTTTCTAGGGCAAATTCAATGGTGATGAACCAAGTTTGGTCGTAGGTACAATTATAAAAGAAATACGGAATTTCCCAAGTGATGTTCTAGCAACTCGAACAATACATACCCCTCTAGACTTCCGTTTCTCGAAACCATCTCCTATGTTGTGTATTGGTATCAAGAGATTTAAGGTTGCTCTACTACTTGCATAAAATCACTCTTCTCCATGATCAATTTCCCAATGTGCCACATATTTACCATATAAATATCCTTCGACAGAGCGTGACGGTGGATGCGGCGTTGTTGCTATCGTTGGTGGTAGTGATGGTGGCAATCCAACTTTTCCTCATTGACGGGTTCGTACGTCTTCATCATCTTAACTGATGATCCTACCCTATGTGATAACACAATCAATATAAAACTGTGAGGAATTACAATTTCTTGCTTTCCCAACAATTGTGATATTTTCATTGTTTTTTGGTCTGACAACCCCACAGTGACTTTTGATGACATCTCCACCTCATCAATTCCCTCCTTGAACATATGTCCCTCCTCCCCAATTTCTTTATTGATTCCAATCTCATCCTTTTGTACAACCAAAACACGTAGTTCATTCTTACATTTGTGATTGGGGAGAAAAGTTTAAACGCAACTAGCTTGTTTCTGTTGTAATTTTGAGTCGGTGAGCCTCCCAACCTCAACCGATTTCTGTTATGTTGTTGTAGGAACCACCAGACGTCTCTCCTGTGTCTTCTCTGTCAAATCAGTAGTTTCCTGATTCACGATGAGGGACAAGGTGTACATACCCTCAGATGAACGAAACTACCATAGCAACAGTCTTCAATTTTGTCCACTTATTGAATGTACGCCTCTTATGTTCCCATTGAAACCAACGAAGTGCAACGCCATCAAACGCAATCGCCGATGCTTCAATCTGTTCATCACTCAATTTCTTCATCATAAAATATTGTTTCGTCGTTGAAATCCAACTGTCCAGATCTGTTCCATTGAAAATCAAAACCTCCAATTTTCGTTCTGAATTTGGCAGCTCCTCTTCCGAATTTGGTGCACCCTTAATCATTGTCTTTCTCAATCTCGTCTTCTGCATCTTCATTAAGAGCTCTATCTATTTCACTACAATTGTACGTTTTCCTTTAGGGTGCCGACTTCTGCTTGCACCGAATCGATTTTCTTTTCCAAATCGTCAACTCTTGATGAAACGTTTCTCATCCTCCCGTAGTTCGTCCTGCTCAAATACCAATTGATACACGTGATAACAACAGAATTGGTGGTATTATTTCTATTAACTATTCGTAATCATAAGATTATAGTAGCTTTCCAGGCACTTCGAGACTACCAGATGTCTCTCAAGGCTTTCGCCAAAAACGCACACACTAAATTGATCGATCCCCTCTCACAAACCCAACCTCCCTATTTAAACTAACCGATTCATCACCTTGCAAAATACTGTTTCGTCCTCGAAATCCAACTGTCCATATCTGTTCCATTGAAAATCGGAACCTCCAATTTTCTTTCTGAATTTGGCGGTTCCTCTTCCGAATTTGGTGCACCCTTAATCATCGTCTTTCTCAATCTCGTCTTCTGCATCTTCATTAAGAGCTCCATCTATTTCACTACAATTGCACGTTTTCCTTTAGGGTGCCGACTTCCGCTTGCATCGAATCAATTTTCTTTTCCAAATCGTCAACTCTTGATGAAACGTTCCTTATCTTCCCGTAGATCGTCCTACTCTGGTACCAATTCATACACGCCGGACTGATAACAAAAGAATTGGTGGTATTATTTCTATTAACTACTCATAATCGTAAGGTTACAATAGCTTTCCAGGCACTTCAAGACTGCCAGATGTCTCTCAAGGCTTTCGCCAAAAACGCACACACTAAATTGATCGATCCGCATTCACAAACCCGACCTCCCTATTCAAACTAACCGATTTGTCAACTTGCTTTAGTAACTTGTACCAGAGCAGTAACCACTTGTACATTCCTACAATAGACTATCATATCTGACTTCCTAACTCGGCCCACCTTTCTTTGACCCATCTAAACATACTCCCCGGGGTATAACAGCAGGTATAGTCAAGAAGGTGCAGATTCTGCCACCGTATTTATCAATAGGCATGCTTTGTTTGTGATCGTCAGAATCAGTTCAGTCTTGTCTATTTAGACATTTGAACCATCAGTTTGATTTTGTAACGAACGTTGACACAAATATTTCTGCAAAGAAAGCGCTACCCAGAAATGCAGAACTACATCCTTATTGGAAAAGCACATCAAATAAAAAAGAATAGAAAATCCCCAACGCTCGCTTGGTTCATAGGACACATTATTTTTTCAAATGTCTTTGACAATCTATGGATTGTTTCCTTCAATTACTTTTATTCCTTGGTATAGACAGAACATAAGACTATCCATGACTTAACTTGGTATCTCCCAGTATTGACAAAGGAAGGAAGAAAGATAACATACACAAAACCTCTAAATACTCTACATTTCAATCATTTGACTAAGTAGTTGAGGATCTTCCTTAGTGTTGATAAATTATGCCCCATCAGAATATGTGATAATATGCCATCCATTTGTAGGAAAAGTGGCCATATATCCGTATAAAAATTATATTCCCCCATTTAAACGATAGGTAATACCATCAAAACCATGAACAAAAGGGATACTTAATGGCCACATATAGGAAAATTAGTTTTTTCTCCAACACTTCGCACACATACCCATTTAGAAGTGAACCAACCGGGAATACTTTAAGGTTGCTATCTTTCTATAGTCTACAAGCCTAATACCTTCAACTTTTTCCTCCAAGATGCACGCTAAATGTAGTATCCATATCAGTTTATCTAAAAGTTTGTCAATTAATAACCTAACAGAAGTATATTTCCCGATGCTTTCTCAGTATTTAAATCAGTATTCCTTGTTCCCAGTATATAAGGAAAATAACAATCGTTATTTGGAAATACCTAGCTAATGTTGTAATCAGTTGGGATGCTCATAGCTCAAAACAGTGCAACTAAGGAGACATGCCATCCTTCAAGCTCTTCTTGTCTTGCAGACACTTTCACAATTGTAAACTATCAAAACCCCTCCATAAACCGGCTTGCAACTAATGTGAACTATCCAAGCAAAGCCATTAGAAAATTTAGATCCACTTTTTAATTCAGAAGTTAGATTTCCCTTTGTACTTTCAGCATCCTCTAGAACCATTCACTAACCTTAATAACATTAAAATAAAGTGTTCCCTAACAGACCCTTAAAAGCAAGAGTGTTATAATTTGTATACATCTCTTCTTCATACTTTAAAATACACGCCCTTCTCCTTGCTCATTCTACTCTTACAAGGTAAGAAAATATACTGAAAACATTTCCAAAGTTGATCAACTATTTGTGCCTACTATAAGACAAATTTACTTTAGTAAGAATATAAAGCAGAATGGATCTCATTCTATTAAATTCCCTTCGTAGGGTTTTCGACAATTTTGTGACGGCATAGCTTCTTATGTCACCTTTGCATAGCTCCCCTTGCAAGTTGCTACTTTCTAGAATCAACTATTTACGCATCTAACTCAACTTAAAGAAAGAGCCTCACCCTATGTTCATAGATTTATTATCTCAATTGTCATCAAATTACTTTTCCCTAGATGACCGTAAATGCAAAAGTCAAATTTATTTTTATTTTGGCTTATTACCTGCACATAATAAGACTGGGCAGCACCCAGAAAATAGTTGTAGATGTAGATATCATGTATATTTGAAACAAATGAGAAGACAAGGCTTTTTAGACATGCGTTCGATTTCTACATGCTTGTTCAATTGCAAAGCATCAGCTATAATGCATTATGCAGACTATGTAGATTCTTGTGCAGAAGGCTACAAAAGTTAAAAGTAAATGCAATCATGTAAACTTGATACTTAAGTGAACCGACACAAATCTTTTCCGGCTCATGGACTGTTGGTGCATACATCGTCACATACAACATTTTTATGGCTCAGACTATGTAACAGAAACCAAGACAAAAAAACCGCATATTCTTGTAGTAACCATAAACAATGTTACTCTAGATATAGCACCTTTCTCCATCAGGATGTGTAATCACAATATCCATATCCCCACAAGTAGCCTTTCCACGTCTGAATGATCCTCCACATACAACATTCACCTGCATTATAAGTTTACAGGCATAGAAAACAAATAATGTATAAATTTCAATTAAAAACAACAATAATGACATCATCTTGAGAAATAGAATTAGAATGAAAAATTTAAGATTCTATTCTTAATGAGGCCTCTTATGGCAGAGATATGCTCAATGTTACCATCCTCTAAAAAATACTAGTTGTGTACCCATGTAATGCAGTAGGATGCAATATTTTATTGTAAACCGAGAATGAAAAACTAATGCAATTTCTCATCAAAAAGAAAATTCTAAAATTTATGTCTGAAAGAAATTGAAATTACACATGGTGGTTAAGCATATCTTGCTAATTTCAAGACGCGGTTAAAGAACCTGGAAAATTATATCGATATTGGTGTCAAGTTAACGATAATAAAATTCCTTTTTTTGGGTATAATTTGTTTAAGTCAATGTTTTTTTATTATAATTTAAATATTTTAGTTCTGAATATAAAGATTTAATGTATTTTAGTTTTAATGATGGAGTATTTTAGTTTTTGACAATAATAATGGAATATCATGTCATATTAGGACTTAATTGTTATCCTGTATTTGGACGTATTTATCAGTTGACCATTAATTAGTTTTATGGAGTTCAAAGAGGTTCGAGAAATTATAAGCAAAGTTGTTAAAGGCTCAAGGCACACTTAGGCACAAAGGGGTCCTCGGGCCTAGGTGTGCCTTAAGAATGCGAGGCACATCTTATCAAATATAATATATATACACACACATACACACAACTCAAATCACATTATATAAAACATAGTTCAATTCAATTTTCAATTGGCATTAATATCGGCATAGCTCAATAAAGTCATGACTCATAATCACTCCTTAATCCTCATCATCATAATAAGTGTCTATTCTTCAATGTTCTCTCTGAATTATACTCGCCAAAATCTCTTCTTTAGTGTCACTCTTCTCTGATAATTCAACTCATTTTCTTCATCTATAAGTTGACATCTTGAACTAGAAGTAGCGAATTTCCCTTTCACCCTTGCACTTCCACTAGCATTCACTTTGTTCCAAACATTATAGTTATGCTCACAAGCTCTCAAAGCTCTAGCAACATCACCCATGTCAATGAGTCATCTTCAAACACATAATCCTCTTCTTCTTCGTCATCCTCATACATTCTTCCGCTTAACCATTTATTGCTCTCATCAATGTCATTTAAATACATGTGATCAATGACATCACAATGATCATATCGAAGCTTCAATGCTCCATTATATTTGACATATACCATTTGTTGAGCGAGCCTAGCTTGTTCAAGTCTATTTCTCCTTTTTTTATGAAGCTACCAAATATACAAATCAAGAGTTAAAAATTAAAATTCCGTACAATATTTCATATTTATAACTTATAACAACTATTATTACAGTTTAGTTACTTACAAGGCTAAATATGCTCCAATTATGATCACAATTGATTGCACTACATGTAAGGTTAAGGACTTTGATAGCAAAAAAGAAATCAACTTAGTAGTTGGTTTACTGAAAAAACCCCACCACTCAACTGCATGCAAAGGTTAATGAAGTGAAAAATAATTCCATGTAATATGTATAAACTAAAAAATATTTAATTTTAGGTGGTAGAAATTTATTGTGAGACTTTATGCCTCTTTGTCGTACGCAAATAGGCATTCCAAATATACCTTCCTCATTCCTATATGACATCAACTGCTCCGCAACTTTATTTTGGTCACCTTGACTTGTCACTAGCCTTTCAATGCTTTTTAAGTAACACTGACATCACCTTTGCATCATTTTCAACAATTATGGATTGAAATAAGTCTCAGCCACATGCCAAGGTTGATGGAGTTGACACCCCCATCTTTTGTCAACAATTGCAAAGACCTTATACTTTTTCTCTATGTTTTTAAACAAACATGCAATTGCCTCCTTTTCCCCTATCTATGGCTTCATATATGTATCCCATCATCAGCTTCTTCTCACCATCAACCAATTGCTCAAGATAAACTTGCTTGATCATTTCATCAGACATTAGAAAGCAAACCATGCTTGGCCCATTGCTCATGATGAACTTGCTTGATCATCTCATTGGTTGACTTCAATTTAATCAAGTAGGGGAATCAACCCACGTGATAACTATAACTAGGAGGCTTGAAACTCGTCCCACATTGTGCCACTACTTCCATAGTTATAAGAAAGCTATCATAATTAAGGCATTAAATGGCAATCCACCATCATAAAACCAATTTGTGAGTTCCTTACAAGCTTTGTCCTTAAGCTCTTTTTTGCAAATTGAATTGATAGTTGTTTGGGTTGTCTTTCCTTTTATATTTTTGATAACTTGATTTGGTGGAAGGGTTAAAAGCATCCATAGGGCCTTTCACGCCTTTTGCTTCTTGGATTGTTGAGCTTGGAACTTGCTATTACCCTAACAAGATCCACTACCAACTTCTTTAACATCATCCTCATCATCCGGATATGTATTTGTCTCGTCAAAATCAGGTAACACTTCACTCTCTACGTTTTTCTTCCCCAAGGGCCAACTTGATCCTCTTCCCCATACCTAAGTATAGCAGTTCGCTAGCCATTCAATGATAGCATGAGATCCTCGTTTCGTTAAGTTACAAGGATGAATACAAATAGCAAGGCGTCGTGCTGTGTGAAGTGAGACTGTGTTGTTGAGTCCCATGAAGATCGAAGCCTTCGTCGAGTCCAACTGAAACCCGTTGGAATCCATCAAGTCTCGTCAAGCAATGAATCTCATCAATAAGCAAGCGTAAAGGACAAAAAAAATGTGACGCCGTGCTGTTCTTTGAGAAGACGGGCTCATTTTCTAGTGAAAGCACATTGATAGCGAATGTTCACGCCTCCGCAAAGGAGGGAGGGTTTCTAATGAGGGAAGAAGTGGAAGAAGCTAGAGATGCTTTCTTTTTTGGACTTTTGACATTCAGGTTGGTCATAAGCATGCTTTTTACTATGTTAAATCCTCCAAACTTTATAAATAACCATTGAAAAACTTTAGTTTCCAAAAGAAATCATTTTCGGTAGATGGGTTTTCATTGTTCTCGAGGGATTCTCTATGTGTCGCAAGATAAATTCTTGATGAAGTTCAATGAGCTCAATAGTTGCTCCATGAAATCATCATCAGATGTGAATTCACGATTTGATTTCCGCATGGTGGTGGTGCCCTGTATCGAACTCCTTTTTGTTATTATCTCTTCATCATGTTGTACCAATCCATCATAATAAAAAACCCATTTGGTATCATACTAATTCAACAATTTTCATTGCTAAATGGGAATCTTCATAAAATAGAGAGAAAAAAGAAAGAAGATCGGAGGGAGAGAAGAAAAGGGAAGTTATGAAGAAAGAAAGAAAATCGGAGGGAGAGAAGAGAAGGGAAGTTATGAAGTTAATGAGGCATATTTAGGGTATTTTTCCATTAAAAAAAAGATAAGCATAGTTTTCAACAAACGGTAACATTCAGCACATTTATGATATACGGAGCCTCAGTAAGCATAGAAACTCAAATTACCCATTTGAATTAGGATAACAAAAAAAAAAACTATAGCATGGGGTTGATGGACAAGAATAACCTCAACACTCGAACAATCTTACAAAATGTATCGAGATGTCTTGTATAGTTTTGTTAAGGAAATCATTACACTTGATTTAGTATGTATTATCATAAGACTTTTTCCCATATTGACGAATCAATTAATGACCATGTGATGCATGTTCTAGAGGTGACCCATTTGTAGTTAGATATAACCAAAATTGAATTATCATAGGAGTCTTTTATCTTTTTATGTTTATCTTTTGATAGTTACTCTTATAAATCTATGTATCTATTTAAAACGCATACTACCCACAACAATATATGCAACTCAATCCCATAAATACAACATATTAGACCCGAAATAGAGAATGTTAAAATTTTCATTTGATGAGATTGATAATATTAAATGATTTGGAATTCCTCATCTAAGCAAGGAAACTTGACATTACTAACTACGAGATTAAATATCTATTTAACTCATGGTCAACTTATATTGTTGAATGTATATACTTCACATATGAGCTCTCTATTTCAATTTCATATTTTGACTTCTTTAAGGTGATTGAACCACGTACTAAGCTTATTATTCAAACTAACCATAGTTGTAAAAATGCCAAAAACATCATAGTTTGCAAGAATGAATTTTTTTTGGACAAATGGTAAAAATTTAAGAGCAAAATAACCATAATACTTGCACTTTTTGTCCAAAATCGCTCAACCTTGCAAAGGTCAAAGCTTCATTTTGCACATTAACATAAACAACGTTGTTTGCAATAAAAAGCAAAGTAGGATGTTTAGGTGCCAATCACTATATTTTCTTTATGATTTTTAACACACTAATTCTTACGATGGTCTATTACTTGAACATGCAAATCTTCTCTTCTTCTAGTCAAGATTCAAAAGCCATGTAACTTGAAGGCAATGAGTTCAATTTCTAAAGGTTAGAAATTTTGGCTCTCGATAAGTCGATGATTATCTTAAAAGGACATATTAAGTTGAAAACAAAAATTACTAAAATGGTAAAATATTGAAAAGCAATATTTTGAAATAGAAGACATTAATGCAAGAGTCCTACTAGAATTGCCAATCCTAGATTCATAGAAATAGTTCGTAGAAGATAGTACTTACTCCAGGTAAAACATCTTCTGCAGCATTTTGTAGCAAGTGCTCCATCTCTTGCACCTATGCACAAAGTATCGACTAGATTTCATAGAACTTTGTTAAAAGAATTTTCACAAATGTTAGGATTTTCCAAAACCTTAGAATGCAGACCTCATCACGGGGTATCCTTGTTCTAATATCTTCAAAATACTTCAACCCTAGCCGTTGTGAATTTGTCAGTGTATCGTCACTTTTTAAATCATCAAGACTTCTGTGTCCTCTTTCATATAGTTTCAATGCGGTGGCTGGACCAATGCCCCATACTTCCCCAAACAAGCTGATTGTTCGTACCTAGAAGTACAGTGATTCAACCACGTGAAATCTTTGTGAACCTCGAAGAAAAAACAAAAACTAGTTATTCTAATTTCAGCATCGTATTTTAATGACTTTGTGTATGACAATAAATATGAATCTTGAGATTTGTAAATTTAATGATTTTCCATTTCATTTCATCTAAGTAAATACATAAACTAGTTACATAGGGTAACCCCTTCAAAACTACTATACAAATTTGGAAAAGACATTATTAAGAACATCATATAGATTTATATTGTTTTACTTGAAGAATGAGCTCTTAGTGTAAAGCGAAACTAAGACCAATTTTAAAGTACGAAAACTAAATAATATTTTAAATCACAATTTTTGTTGATGAAATCTCGAAGTATTTTAATGTGTAATTAATACTTATTTTTAATATTTTAATATTTATCAACCAGCCAATTAAGGTAACACATCAAAGAAGAGAAGCCGCATAGGAAAAGAAGAAAAGCCAGAGAAGTCGCATAGGAAAAGGAAAAGGAAAAGCCACAGAATGCATGTTGTATAAAAATGGAACCCGTCTCCAGAAAAAAAAATGGCTTGCTGTATAAAAACTAAAGTTACACATGTCTATTGAAGGTTGTATGTAACACACTACAAATATAGGATTCCAACGCACGATGAAACTGGATAGGGAGTAGAGACAAAGCAAGAGGAAGTTGGTTATTTAAACCCTAAAGCCGCATACGGTCATACCCCACGCCTCAGCCACACCTCAGTGGGGCGAGGCGTATGACCCATACAACCCCGCAGAGGCGCTGCCTCATGTGCGATTTTGGGCTACCTCGCCTAGGGGCACACCTCAAGGCGTACGCCTCAACCTCTCTTTAGAACCATGACTAAGGCCGTTTACCAAACACTTACTCGGTAAGCGCTTACCGGCAAAATTAACACTATCATTTACTTACCGAGTAAGATTTTAATCCATCAAAACGACATCGTATGCAACAATTTACCCGGTAAGCACTTCCCATGGTAAGAGTCGTTGCCCTCACTTACCAGGTAAGACTCTTGGTCCTTGTCTCGCTCTTACCGGGTAAGATTCTTGGTCCTTACCATATTCATCCGTTAATGTAATGTGATTTGGTAAGCACTTACCCGGATAAGCATTTGGTAAACGGCCCCTAAGAGTCTTAAGACAATTTAGATCACAACTCACAAGAACCTTTTACAATGCAAACAGGGACAGAGTAAGTAAAAGGCACAAGAACACCACTAAAATTAAAGCAGTGAAAAAACTTTTCAACACCTTTTCATCACTCTCGAAGTGTTCCAACTTGGACAATTTCCCAGTCGTCACGATCTCATGTATCTATAAAAGAACCACACTGCCATCAGAAATTATGCACTGTGAATATGATAAGAATGTTTTTCTCATTCTTTCTATGAAAAATTTATGGCTCAAGAATGTGACTTTAAATTCAAAGCGCTTCATGTTCTGACCTGCACAAAAAAGACTTAAAATTATAGACATCGAAGTAAGGATATCATTGAAGGCTCTAAAGCATGACCAAATGGAGTTACGGATGTTTTTACTGTTTATAGTTTTTAAAAGGTATTTCATGATCACAGAAAACAGATCCATGGTCCATATAAGGGACATCAATTTTACATGCTAATAAGATGTTATAGTAACATAAACTCGCCTGAGTTCTATTGAATAACTCTGTGTACAGCCACCAAATGCCCAGGTTGAAACAGAGTGAAGATGGCAAACAAATTACAATCACAACACATGAAAAGATATATGTAACCGTATGAAAAAAGTTATACACCAAAATATAAACAAGCAAGAAGACCACATATCAACATTTATGGGATAAACCCAGCGACATCAATAGCAGACCAGCAGGCATAGGTGAGGAAAGAAAAGAGAACCAAGCAGCATGAGATGATGAGATGAGATGAAAACACAAGAAAACAGCCAAAAGGCATGAAAAGCAGATCATACATAAAAGACACTTAAATATGTTGACGGATGAGATTTCACAATGGGAGCTCAGGAACCGATCAAGGCATAATAATGCCATTTTTAAATTCTAATGACTTCCCTAATGTACTATTCCGGTTGATAACCACAGAGGAAATAGTGGGTTTTGCCCTTTGAAGTTGTAAGCATGTTTGCTTGATGGCATCATCATGGTGGTGATTATTGATGATACAACTTACACTGCTTTACTAGATAATAGCCCTAAAAATTTGTCTTCGCTTGTCTCCCAATCCCAATACACAAGACATGACTGTATTGCACAGGCCAGGAAGAAGGATAAAAGACATTCATTGAAAACCCACTGTTGGGTTTATTTTTTGCACACACAGTGTTAGCCATCACATATGTACTTACACACTGCCTTGAAGACACTTTTTGTTTCTGAAATCAATTATAATTCATTATAATGTCGAAATGGAGATTGATTTAGGTATTGATTTCCATATGAACAATGGGTGATTCGAGTTGTGTGTTTGATTCCGGGTGTGGAGCATGAATTCTCCTAGACCTCTGCCTCTAGCTTGTAATCCCTTATAGACTGCAATAGAAGAGATGAGAGAGAAATAGCAAGTTTACACACCAATATTGCAAATGGAAATCAGCCCCCTAGCTTGTAATCCCTTAATCTACTTCTCTAAACCTTTTAAAAGGCCAAATTAAAGCCCAACTCCTAATTGCGGTTTTCACACCGCTATTGCAAGTCAAAATTGCGGCCCAATTGCGGTGATTAGTGCCGCTATTAGCGGAACCGCTATTTCCGACAGCTATTGCTCACCGCTATTTCCTCTAGGACCTCTAACAGCTATAGCACCGCTATTTCACTGCTATAGCACCACAATTAACAGCATAGGGCCTAATGTGGGTACATAACATTACCCCGCCCCCAAAGAACCACTTTGTCCTCAAGGTGGGTAGAAAAAATAAACTGTTGCTGCCCAGTTACTACATCTTCCCAACCAGCTGCTAACGTCAAAGTCCAAAGGCTCCCAAGCAGTCTGCCATTCATGTAATTCAGCCAAGTTATAGACTCATCCAAATTCCCTTGTATATAAATGTTCTCAAGCGGTTCAGTCTTACAATTTGAAACAAATAGAATAGTTTTGTTTCCTAATCTGAATGGTCTGGTAAACCCCAACCCAGAACCTTGTCTTTCTCCTCATATCTCATATCATAAAGATATGTCCTTTTCTTAATATTAAATTTGTCTCCCGTACTTCTGCCTTCACCCAACAATATAGCCCACACTTTTCTTCTTCTAATAGTGAGATCACCAATCTTCATTTTCCATGTCATTGATAAGCATTCCACAGTCCAGATGGTTTTTACTAAATTTCTCCCCACTAACATCATTGACCCCACAACAATCTTTAAAACTGTTTGTAGGTGAGCCTTTGCTCGATTATGGTGTGCCTCACGCAAACGAGCATGCTGCTCATCAAGGATTCTCTTTAGTAGAAGCTCATGGTGTGTGAGCTCAAAGTAAACCTTATACTCAAACTCCTTATAATCCTCATGGAAAAGCTTAAGTACTGATGAAGAATTGACATCCGTTCAAAGGAGTCTGCAAGAACAACAGGCTTTGGACCATTTAGTAATTCTCTTCTTATAAAAGTAGCTTCTCCCGTCAATACACGATTAACTTCCCAAAGGCGTGAGGCAAATGTATCAACTGACGTGAGAAAACACCTTGCAACCAAGCACTTCCAAAACAAAACACTACTCTGATTCCTCCTAAACAGTCGGGTCACTGCTTCTACAAACGACAGTACATGCCACTTGTTTGCAGGTTGTCCATATTTAAACTTGCTTGAAGAGATGGAGAACAAATCCAAAGCTCAGACTCTGAAGCCATCATATCGATCCTTCTGCCAAACTGCCTCATGGACTAAACTGATACCAGATCAATTTAGAAAATCCTTGCATTTTTGAGTCAATTGATAACTCAAGAGACAAAGCAAGGAGCGAGAAGAGAATAGTTGATCAACACCATTGAAACTTAATATTGGACAAGGAAATAACAAAGTGGTCGTACTAAATGGCTGAAGTAATGGATTTGGCAGTTTTAGGTTTGGTTTTGAATATGAATTCGAAGCTAGTTTTGGATCTAGATTAGGTCTAGTTATGAAATCGGTTGTGGTTGAATTCAACGAGGGTTTTGGATACAGATTAGGTCTAAATCGAAATCTAGGTAGGATTACGCTTTGGTTTATAGTATTATAGAGTTTTAACAGAAGGGGGAATAATGTTCTTAAACTCACACTTCTTGATCGTTTCCCCATGAGACTTGCGATTTCCTGATCATTTGTTGCTGGAGATTGCTCCTTCATCGTTGATCCAACAATTTCCACAGGAGGACTCGATCGATTCATCCTCTATATGCCACACAATGGGGCTTATGCTATTTTGGGCCGTTACATGAGCCTTGTGTTGATTAGGCCAAACCTTATCTCCTTTCTCCTCCACGTTTGTGATGGACGAATAGTGGATCGAGAGAACCGTCCAAATCTCAACGCCTTCCTCAGTCGAACTTGAGACGGTAGTCGAGTCCCTCGATGAACCAACCAAAAGCGGCGGAGAATCTACGTCCAGTGGTGCTAGGTTTGGACCTTGGTGTAACCCTAAATCTCGTTGATTGGTAGGATGATTATTCTTTATCTATTTGAACTCTTCAATGTTGGATATAACATTCTATCTTCCTTTCTTCCAGTGAGTTCTTTATCCTCCTTTTCTTCTCCACTCGTCATCATGACCCTAGTGCGAGATCCGGAACTAGTCACGAATGCCCTCCTCCTCATTTCCAACCATTGTCGTGATGTTTAGGTTATCATGGCTCAAGTTAGAAGTGTGAATAGCCTCTTCACCATTCGAGGGGAGCCTCCGGACGCAATCTCCGACAGTGAAGAACCCCCTAGTTTCGTTGGGTTTTAGATGCAGAACCCGATCAGGATCGAATGATACTTGCCTCTTCACGAATCATCTCCTTAAATTTCTGATTGAGCACGATCATATGGTCTCAAAATTGTTGCTTAATGTCGGCAACAATGGAATGGATATCGACCACCTCCTTCTTCCATGATTCATTCTTCTGCGGAATCACATCACAGGCCATGGCATCAAACACACAATACGACCACTGCAATTCCCTAGCCATGGATTTGTACCGCTCTGATACCAATTGTTATGAACTGAACCGATTGAACAATGAAAATAGGGACCGATTGATAAGAACAATTGTTGGATGATCCAATTACTAATAAAAGGAACAGTTTCTAGCATTCAAGAGGCTAGTCTCTCCTAAAGAAAACAATGAACAATTTTCTAGATACCTCTACTCCCCTCCACAGTCGACACCTCTATTTATACTAGATTTATTATAACTAAGTAACTACCCAAGATACCCTTTCTAACCCTTTCTAGAATAACAAGTATGGATGGGCGTGGGCCTAATGTGGGTACATAACACAAGGCTATGCTTATTGTACCTTCCACTTCCCTATCGATACCAATAGATTGCACTTCATTATTAGCATGTATATTCCTCGGTTAGTCTATCCAAAGCCAGAATAAAAGACATGACAACTTGTAAGCCTTACCAGTGCACTGTATCTATCTATTTCAATGGAAAATAAAACAAATGAAAAAGATAGCAATGTAGAGGAAGTGCAATTTTGAGTAAAGAATCTTTACAAGATCTTTCACTTACATGATCCTGCATCGACTTCCCAATAGCTGGCAAGTCTTTGACTTGATCCACACTTTCAATTTTAAAGGGCAACCTTTCAATAATTGGAATTGCCTTGTAATAGCTGAAGGACCGTCGGTCATCACCCAAAGCTAAGAAATTTGATCACATGAGAAAGTACATCCAAACTAGTCACAGCATTGTGTACTACACAGGTAAGGTGCATAAAGAAAAAAGCAAAGCACTAAAAGACATTTTACCTCTATATATATTGATTAGTTTGCCAAACATTTCGGTAATATTTCTATTTAAATCAGGAGGGTGATATGGCAAGGAAGCATCTGGTGCACCGACCTGAGTGACAAACATGAAGCATGTTATTTACAAACATACTCTAAAAAAAATGAAAAGAACCCTTCCGACAGCACTGTCACGCACGGCTAGTAAAATAAGGCAATGAGAAGAAAATGGTTGCACCTTATTTACTTTGGAAGATCAAAAAAATTCGAACTCCAACCACATTCACATATACATTAGTAAAAAGGAGAGGTCTTACAGTACTCTGTTGAGCATTAGAAGTGACTGGGCTAATGCTTGAAGGCCTTCGAGGGTACAAGCTGTTCTTAGAACTATAAGCTGTGTGAGGAACAACATCAACTGAGTTGCTCAATGACTTATCCTTCATTTCTGGACTGGAACTTTCTGAGTTCATGGATGAGGGTTTCAGCTTTTTATACAGGTGTAACTCGTTGTCACTAGATATTTTCACATCAGCAGATTCAACAGAGTTCTCATTAGGTGAGTTTTTTGGAGGACTTTGGCATGAACCCAACTGTATAGTGTATGATTCCTCGCTAACTTTCTCTCCTAGTCTCAAGCTGTCCTCCAGCCACTGATAAAAAAGAATAGTCTGCAAAATATCATAAACATTGGTTAGTAGCATATTTACAACCCCAACCACCATAAAAAGAGACAAAAACATCATACTCTCTCCTTCCCAAACAATGCAACATTTGACTTGCATAGTTTAATAAAATGTTTGGCTATTGATCAAATGTCTTAAAAAACAAGGACAAAACAGAAAAACCTTGTGGAACAAAATTAAAGGAATTAATTTCAAGTAACGATTACTAATATCCAAAAAGTAAACCTAGAATGAAAACTTACCAAAAAGAAATGTTGCATTTTTGGGACAACCCAAAAAGAAAAGTGTTGAACATTTTTGGGATGGAGGGAGTATGCCATAAGACAACGGAATAGTCCAGGTCTGCAATAGCCTAGAACATTATGTTTATCATCCAAAATGCATAAGCCTTAGTCAAATTAGAATAAGACAAACATAGATAAGTTATTAACGTGGTTACTTGAAGAGAAATGAAAACTAGCATCTCACCACAAAATTAGAAATGCTGTTAACATAGAAAATATGCAAAGTAATGTAACAAGGGGAATAATGCAAGTCCCTGTTCCTATTGTTCACTTCCATTAGCAAACCAATTCAGCGTTAACACAAACACATACATGGATCGTATATGTGTGTATGCATAATTGAAACAAGTGTGAAAACAACTCATTTTGTCATCTAAATTTCTCTAGTATGGTGCCAGATCATCTTCATCCTCTCATTTATATCAAAAGCAAGATGGTAGACCTTACGCCTTTATTTCTGAAACAGCTAGATCAAAGAATAATGGGCATTAAAAAAATATAATATTAATAAGAACATGAATCTAGACAAGATGAATTTGTTACGAGTCAGGTAGATTCAAACAATCCCCATTTTAACCACTACTACCACCAATCAAGGCAGATTATTTTCTCCTTTTTTCTGTCTCGAATGGCAGACTTCAAACTTCATAAGTGAAAATCCCACATTCTGAAAAAAATGAAGAACACTTATATTCTCATTTTAAACCTGATAGTATTCACACCTATAATGAACATGGACTTCGTTTTAAATATGCCACCAACATCCACATGAATTTTACTTTCAGGAGAGGTTTGACCTCAAATTAAAAGTGTAGCCATGTAGGGAACATTAACTATTAATAATAATAACGGAACCACCTTAAACCATAAAACAACAGTAATAAGTGGGAAAAAACAAAACTTGGTGTTAAAACTGTAAAGAAAAATCATACTCATTTTGAATCCAATATATACTAGTTTTGATCATCAAAAGATCTCACTGAACAACCATTCGCATCCATATATTAAATTTACTACACCCCTTCTGAATTCCATTTAAATTTGTGACTTCCTCTGTCGAACTAGCTGCCATCAAGAGTGATAACTAGCACTAATCCATCGATTTTTAAGTGAACAAAATAAAGAAAAAATTCAGTCAATTGCCGACAATAGTAAATAGGCCATGTACCCCTTCGAAGCGCTGCAATAGTTTGGGACCCAATTTCCGGCGAAGTGAGTCGGAATTAACCGCAAAAACATGAGTCACATTCCGGGACAAAGCTTCTTCTTCCACGATTGCTCCCATCTGCACTAGCTTTTGCTTCCATATCTTCACGAGAAAATCAAACATCATCCAACATAACGCGATGCATACATCTAAACAGCAAAAAGAGAAGACCAAAACCTGTAATCGACGTCTCTGAACGCCATCGTCACAGAGGAAGACGACCATTCCGGAGAAGATTCCATGAGGATCCGGCGATGGATAACGATTCTTGCTAGCCTTGGGCGCCATTTCCTAATTGCTTGCTGCACTTCCGCCTCTGATTTGAATTCCGTACCGAATCCAGAAGATTCCAACTTGAGTGGGGTTTTACTTTTTAGCAGCTGAAAGGTAGTTATTATCAGGTGCGATCCAGTTCATGTTCTTTCGGTGGGCATCAATGACAACTCTATATATACATTAGGTTCGAATCCGTAAACCCGTGTATTATATGGCGTATTTTGCAAGAATAAAATGGAAGCAGCATACATTTTATAAAGAATCTATGATAACATGAGTAAATATTATAAACTTGTAAAAATAATTTATAACAAAATGTAAAAGAAATTAGGTAAATGTAAGTAGTTAAAATATTAATGGGTTAAATACATGAAATAGCAACCTACTTTCATAAAATTTCTTATTATAGCATTCTACTTTTGTTTTTCTTTATTACAGCAATGTACTTTCAAATTATTTTTTATTAAGGCATTGTACTTTAAAAAATCTACCCATAATAGCAATGGGTAACCTGTTACCTTTTAAACCGGTTAACC